TGAAAAATGTAATTGCAAAGCGAAATATTAACATTTACCATTTTCTTTATATTTATCTGTACTGTATTATGACCTCTAGGTATCATGAAACATGAGAAGTGATAGGCCGAACAATGAAACTTCTACATGACAGAAGATAACTAGTCTCGTTAAACCAGCTTAGTTGGTAGCTGTGCAGAGACGCTGGTTTGAACCCACAACACCTTACTTATTCATCTTTAAAGAGTGAATTCCAGCCACGAGCTATTTTGTATAAATTACTTATTTCAACACTTGTTTCTTTTTTAAACAAAATTTTACTGATATCTAATCTTAATCTTAAGAATTCGAAATGATTAATATTTTTTTGAGGGGAAATAAAAAATGAAATGTACAGTCTGTTTACTATAAACATATTAAAGAGTAAAAGAACATGCTCATGTCAATTTCTGTCTTGATGCAGCCAACTGTTGAACTGATAAAGTGAAAATCAAGCACAAAGTATAATAAATCAATAATATATAGCATTTTACAAGGATGTGGACTCCATTTGAGAAGATAATGAAAAGCTTTCCACTATGGACTCCCGAAATATGTCATTAGTTGAATGCTCAAATAATTGCTCATCACTCGGTTTCTTCTGATCATCTTTGATATATATAAAACTTTGTACCTTTCTCAGTGCTTCTAATTCTGCTGAAAACTTTGTACATTTGGTATCAAGAGCTTCCGAAAGGGGCTGTAGGAGTGTGAGAGTGAGTGAAGCATGACAACCTCTGAGAAATTTGTGACTCCAAGATTTGACGGCCATTACGATCATTGGTCGATGTTGATGGCGAATTTCTTGAGGAGCAAAGAGATGTGGAACCTGGTGGATGAAGGTATTCCAGCACCAGCAATCGGGACTTCGGCGGCAAGTGAGGCTCAAAGGAAAAGTGTCGAAGAAACAAAACTCAAAGATCTAAAAGTTAAGAACTATCTCTTTCAAGCGATTGACAGAGAGATCATGGAAACTATTCTTGACAAAAGAACATCAAAGGCGATATGGGATTCGATGAAACAGAAGTACCAGGGATCAACCAAAGTAAAGAGAGCGCAACTGTAGGCATTGAGGAAGGAGTTTGAAATGCTGGTTATGAAAGAAGGAGAAAATATCGATAGCTTCATTTCGCGAACCCTCATGGTGATAAATAAAATGAAAGTGAACGGAGAAGATATGAAGCAAAGCACAGTGGTGGGTAAGATTTTGAAATCTTTGACTCCCAAGTTCAATTATGTTGTATGTTCAATTGAGGAGTCAAATGACATAGATACTATGACTATTGATGAGCTCCATGGAAGTTTACTTGTTCAAGAGCAAAGAATGCATGGGAATCAGGAGGAAGAACAAGCATTAAAAATTTCTTATGACGACAAGCCACGACGGGGCAGAGGCTCATTCCAAGGGGGTCGAAGTAGAGGAAGAGGGAGGTCATCTATGAATAAAGCCACCATAGAATGTTTCAAATGTCATCAGTTGGGACACTTTCAATATGAGTGTCCTGATTGGGAGAAACGGGCTAACTATGCTGAATATGTAGAAGAAGGAGAAGAGGTTTTGCTGATGTCTTATGTTGATGCTGATCAAACCAAAATAGAAGAAGCTTGGTTTCTTGACTCTGGGTGTTCGAATCACATGATCGGAAATAAAGAATGGTTCTCGGAGCTAGAGGAAGGATTTAAACAAACTGTGAAGCTTGGGAATGACACTAGAATGGTAGTGGTAGCTAAAGGGAGTGTACGGCTTCAAGTGAACGGTATTATTCAGGTAATCTCAAATGTTTTTTACATACCTGAGTTGAAAAGTAATTTGTTGAGTATAGGCCAACTTCAGGAGAAGGGTTTAGCTATTATAATTCAGCAAGGGACTTGTAAAGTTTATCATCCTAAAAGAGGTTTAATTATGCAAACTAACATGAGTGGAAATAGAATGTTTTATATGTTAGCATCTATGGCAGCAAAAGAAAATTCGATGTGTTTTCAGGCTAAACTTTCCTCTGAGAAAGAATCACACCTGTGGCATCGTCGATTTGGCCATTTGAATTACACAGGATTAAGAACACTTGCATACAAGAAAATGATAGACGGTGTGCCGCTGCTCAAAGTTCCAGAAAAATTATGTGAAACTTGTTTGGTTGGCCAACAGCATAGAGGATCCTTTCCAAAACAAAGTTCTTGGAGAGCCTCAAAGCAACTTCAACTCGTGCATTCTGATTTGTGTGGGCCTATCAAACCTGCTTCCAACAGTAACAAAAGGTATATCATAAGTTTCATTGATGATTTTTCACGTAAAACTTGGGTTTATTTTTCACATGAAAAATCAGAAGCCTTTAGTGCATTCAAGAATTTCAAAGCATTTATTGAAAAAGAGGCTGGTGCATATATAACTTGTTTGAGAACAGACAGAGGAGGTGAGTTTAACTCAAATGAATTTAGAGAATTTTGTAAAGCTCATGGTATAAGCAGGCAGTTGACAGCAGCATACACTCCACAACAGAACGGAGTTGCCGAACGAAAGAACAGAACAATCATGAATGCAGTACGTTCAATATTAGCTGATAAGAAAGTTCCAAAAGTGTTTTGGCCAGAAGCTGTAAATTGGTGTGTTCACGTTCAAAATAGGAGCCTGACCGCAGCGGTAAAAGAAAAAACTCCAGAGGAAGCATGGAGTGGAGTGAAACCAACAACAACTTACTTCCGGGTGTTCGGTTGCATAGCACACGCTCATATTCCAGACCAAAAGAGGAGCAAGTTAGATGCCAAAAGCAAGAAGTGTGTATTCATAGGTGTTAGCAATGAATCCAAGGCCTATAGATTATATGATCCAATTACTAAGAAGATCATCATCAGCAACGATGTTCAATTTGAAGAAGAAGAGGGCTGGAATTGGGGAAGAACTGAAGAAGAACTGAATTTGGATGTGCTAGAAGATGATAATGAAAGTGAAAAAGAGCATGTCGGCGAGGATAATATTGTGGAGGTCATGGGCAGAAATACTACTTCCGATTATTCACCACAAAATGAAGAAAACATTCAAGAAGTTGCAGATGAAGGGAGGGGTGAAAGAGTCAGAACAAAACCGGTATGGATGGCGGACTATGAAACAGGAGAAGGTTTCTCAGAAGAAGAAGAAGATATGCATGCAATGATGATGGTAACAGAGAATGATCCTTTTTCATTTGCAGAGGCAGTCAAAAGCAAGAAATGGAAAGAGGCTATGGAAGCAGAAATGAAAGCTATAGAGAAGAACCAAACATGGGAATTGATGGATTTGCCTAAGGATGCCAAGCCTATTGGAGTTAGGTGGGTCTTTAAGACCAAACTTAATGAAAATGGGGATGTCGAGAAACATAAAGCGAGATTGGTTGCTAAGGGTTATGCACAACGGTATGGAGTTGATTACACCGAAGTATTTGCACCAGTGGCAAGACTCGATACCATTCGAACAATACTTGCAGTAGCAGCACAGTGTGGCTGGGAGATTTTTCAGCTTGACGTAAAGAGCGCTTTCCTTCACGGTGAACTCAAGGAGGAAGTATTTGTACAACAACCTGAAGGGTTTGTTAAGAAGGGAGAAGAAGGGAAGTTTTACAAGCTAAAAAAGGCTCTATATGGCCTTAAGCAAGCGCCAAGGGCGTGGTACAACAAAATTGAGGCTTACTTTCTGCGTGAAGGCTTCGAGAAATGTTCGAGTGAGCATACTTTGTTCACCAAATCAAAAGGAGGTAAAATTTTAATAATTAGTCTTTATGTAGATGACTTAATATTTACTGGAAGTGATGTGAGCATGTGTATGGAATTTAAAAATTCAATGATGATAGAGTTTGATATGTCTGACTTAGGAAGAATGAGACACTTCCTTGGAATGGAAGTGCTGCAAAATTCAAATGGTATTTTTATTTGTCAAAGAAGGTATGCACGAGAAGTGTTATCAAGATTTAAAATGGAAAATAACAATAGTGTGAAAAATCCAATTGTACCGGGAACAAAGTTGTCAAAGGATGAAGGAGGAACTAAAGTTGATGCAACAATGTTCAAACAAATGGTTGGAAGTCTCATGTATTTAACTATAACTCGTCCTGACTTAATGTATGGTGTAAGTCTCATAAGCAGGTACATGTCTAGACCAACCATGTCACATTGGTTGGCAGCCAAAAGAATTTTGAGGTATTTAAAGGGGACAACTGAGCTAGGCATTTTCTACACAAAGAATGAAGGTTGTTCAAAACTCTTGGCATTCACAGATAGTGGCTATGCGGGTGATCTTGATGATAGAAGAAGTACATCTGGATATGTGTTCATGATAGGATCTGGAGCTGTATCCTGGTCGTCAAAAAAGCAGCCTGTAGTGACTTTATCAACTACCGAGGCCGAATATATCGCAGCAGCTCTATGTGCTTGTCAGTGTATATGGCTAAAGAGAATCTTGAGAAAGATTGGAGTGGAGCAGGTTGAAGGAACTATAATTCAATGTGACAGCAGCTCTGCCATTCAGTTGGCTAAGAATCCGGTTTTTCACGGAAAAAGTAAGCATATTCATGTGCGGTTTCATTTTTTAAGAGATTTAGTGAATGAAGGTGTTGTAGAATTAAAGTACTGAAACTCACAGGAGCAAGTAGCAGACTTGATGACAAAACCACTCAAACTTGAACTGTTTGAAAAACTCTGTGGTATGCTTGGAATGGTTAGTGCGTCGGAGTTAAACTAAAATACATGTGTTTTAGTTTAAGGGAGGGAATGTTAGGTGGACACGTATTAGTGTTTTAGTATTTGTTTTAGTCTACTATTTTATTATTCTGTTTGAATAAGACCTATTCTTTAGGAGAAATAGGGTTTGTTACTTGTTTTACTACTCTGTAGGCATGTAAAGAGTAGAGTTATTTATTTCCTTTTGCTTGTAAGATGGCTATATATTAGCCACTGATTAATCGAATAAAATACATTCCTCCACTCACTTTTGTAGCTTTGTTAAAATCTGATTTCTAACAACTATCAGGATCCTCTTTGCAACTCTTGCCTCTAAGAGGAACCAATGTAGGTGTCAAGGCAAAGAGGTTCACCCTTCTGTTTTCATTGGGTGCCACTTGTAACTCATTTGCTTCTAGTATACTTTGTTCATCAACACCATAAGCCTCTGCTATAGATTCAACAGTTTCACCATAGTTAACTGTGTAAACCAGCAAGGAGGTGATTCCTTTCGCCATCTGTTTTGTTGTAGGACAAGCACAAAGTATTGGAATTGTGAGCTCATCACCAATTTTAATGCTTAAAGAAGTATAGTAATTCTGACCCTTTAAAGCCTGACATGTTGTGAGGCTTTGGTAAGTTGCATATACCAATTGAAAGTAGGTATCATTTTCTTTGACAGTGTAAGGGGTGTTATGTTGATAGATATTTCCAGAACATGAACACAAGATAGGGACAATGATTGTTTTATTGGAAGGAAGTTTGGTATCTTTTGAGATATTGTTGATTGAAGCTATGGTTGATGCTTCAGATCCAAGAAGATAGGCAATACTTATAGGATTGTCATAAGGAGGTTTGGATCTGAAAACTAAGAATGAATTGCATGATGACCTTTGAGGGGTATTGCATAGGTATCCATTTGGTGCTAAAGGGTCTTCGCATTCAGTGACAGTGTTGTTTATGTATAATTGTTGACAGATGACTGAGTAAGGAAACAGAAATAAGAGAAGGATTGTTGTGGAAAGAATGTAAATGTAAGGAAACTTCATGAGTTTGATGAGTTTCACTTCAATTTTGGGGTGCAGTTTAAGATCCAAGGTATTAATTCATTGGCAATTATAATGATTTGTATGAGTCAAAGTTGCAACAACTTGAAAATGTTGAGAAATGTCATTATTGATCCCCCCAAAAGTCAAGAGTGGGACACATTCCATTGCTGAATTTTCTTGTCACTGCCAAACACCATGTCATTATTTCAATGTTCAAAGCCTTTTCTTTGAAATCTGACTAATCTCCTGCAGCAGCATATCAGCCAAAACCACGTTTGAGCTGCTCTGTTGGAGGAAGGTGTCATTATCTAGCTAACACTCTATTAAGAGAAAATTATACCAATTTATGATGTTTGAGTTATGTTGTGAATTTTGTTGTGAATTACGACAAAATTTAATATCAATTTGTGAGGTAAAGAATAATAGCAAATAAAATAAATAGTCTTCGATCCTAAAGGCGCCCAAGAACAACCGTATTTTCTACCCAAGTGTTTCCCTACCTCTCCAATGTTTTCTTTGTGCATAGCTGAAACTCTATGCTATACTTTTAAATCCTTAATCTCCCTTGTCGATGAAAACTCAAAGATAGCCACACACCAAACATATAAGAGATACATATTTATAATAGCAAATACCCAACAAACAAAGCCCAAAATAACATGAATTCATGTACCGAATCGAAAAAAACGCGAAAACACTATTCACCGTACGGACATCACTATTCATCCGTACGGGTAGCACTATTCGCCGTGTCGGCGACACTATTCACCGACCGATTTTTTATTTTATTTTTTCGATTTTCGCAGTAAATGCAATCTGCAAAATATGTTTTCTTTCTCTTTATCAACAAATGTTTTAAAGCACATTTACAACAATCTCCACCTTGACTTTAAATCGCGTTGATACCAATTTAACAATCAACAACATTACTAATCTCTACCAAGTTGAAACTTTAATCAATAATTTTGATCAAATTCAAGCAACCCTGGAATCTTGATCTCGCAACTTGAATCCACTTGTTCACAATTACCCTTTTCTGCCTAGGTAATTTAACAAACCTACAAGTATGGTCTTTCAATCACCCTTAACTCCACCTGTTTTCAAATGCCTCCTTAAAGGTTTTTCTTCTTTTATTTTGCACTCCTTCATCCACATTAAAAACATAATATCCAAGGTTAGCATAACCGTCCCTTTGAGATGCTACAATAACTCTCTTTACCTTATCATGAGTGAAATGATAATCAGAAATCTCTCTAACCGTTCCCTCACTACTGCTAGCATCCGTAGTAGAAAACTCCACCTCAAACTGAGTTTCCTCCGTTATAGTTTCTCTCAGGTTTCTCCCTTGGTTTTCACTATTCTTCTTCTGAAGAAATTCTCTACCAACCAAGTAAGTTGTTTTAACCTCAGCTCTTCCCCAAAAACTCAATAACAACTCAAAGGTAACATGCAATTTTATCCATTGATTTCTGCAAAATTCATTGTACTCCTCTGAAACTTTCTCAAGGCATTCATAACGCCTTGAACTCAAATCCCATAGCTCTTCCTTGTCATGAAAACCTCCATTAATTAACGGTTGGAAAATATTTTATTTCCATATTTAATTGTTTACATTTATTGTCATTTATTTTCTTTTATTTTCCATTAACGAGAGAATTAAGTATTTTTATTGTATTCTCATTATATAAACCAGCCTTTGTCCGATGAATAAAATTACAACGACTTTTATTTATTTCTTCCAATATGGTATCAAGAGCTCTGGGTTAGGGTTACCCGATATGATTCACATACTCGTTTAACCTCTTATGGTGAATAACAACGGCGGAGGCCGCAGAAACGGCGGTGGTCGCGGAGATGACGAACGATAGGAACCGTCAGTGGTCACAAACAGTGGCAATAATGAAGACATTAACATTGTTTTTGGCAGTAATAACAACAACAATGGAAACAGGAACATTGTCTTTGGTGATAGTTATTCCAACATTGGCGGTAATGATCAAAAGGGTTCCTCGTACTCCCTCAAGGTCAATATCCCTAAAGTGAATGGGAATAACTATAATGAATGGGCTCAAACCGTTCGGTTAGTGTTGGATAGTAAAGGAAAACTTGGTTTATTAACAGGAGCAGTAGCTGAACCGACATCAAGAGATCCTCGTTACAAACAATGGAAATTTGAAAACTCTTTGATTATTGCGTGGCTGGTAAGCTCCATAGAAACTGGAATAGGTAAGCCTTACGTGTTTTTGCCTTCAGCAAGGGATGTATGGGAAGCTGTTAAGGAAACATACTCTAATATTCAAAACTTCTCCCAAATTTTTGGTTTAAAATCAAAGTTATGGCATGCGAAACAAGGTAATAGGAGTGTAACTGTTTATTACAATGAGCTGTTAACACTGTGGCAAGAGTTGGATCTTTGTTATGATGACAATTGGAGGTGTACAGAAGATAGCGTTTTGTTTCTCAAGAGGTAAGAAAATGATTGTGTATTCATGTTTCTCGTTGGGCTCAATAAAGACCTTGATGAGGTAAGAGATGGAGTTTTAGGAAAAATACCATTGCCAACTCTTTGTGAAACTTTTGCAGAAATAAGAAGGGAGGAGACACGACAAGGAATTATGATGGGCAAGACACCACGGAGCTCTGAATCTGAAGGTTCAGCTCTGGCTACTAGGAACCTTGACGAGGGAAGAAGGTCGGATAAAGTTCCTTGGTGTGATCACTACAAGCACGAATGGCATACACGTGAAACTTGTTGAAAGCTCAAAGGCAAACCTCCGAACTGGAAGAAGAAAGGTGGTCGTTCATTTCAGGCTAGTAATTCTGATCAAGGGCAGCAATCCCCTACAACTTAGCTTTCATTTACTACGGAACAACTAGACAGCCTGTACAAACTCCTCGAGTCTCCAACCTATTCTTGCTCTATAGCAACAAAAGGTAATTATGCACTTCTTAGTGTCAGTCCCAGTCATACTTGGATAGTAGATTCAGGTGCCTCTAATCACATGACAGGTGAATCTACTTTGTTCTCTTCATATAGTCCATGAATCTTGGTACAAATTTATGTTGATGACATTATATTCGAATCAACTAACATGAATCTCGTAAGAGAGTTTTCTAACCTAATGCAGGGTGAATTTGAGATGAGTATGATGGGGGAGCTCACATACTTTCTTGGATTACAAATCAAACAGCTTGAGGAAGGAACGTTTGTAAGTCAAACAAAGTATTATCTTGAGCTTCTCAAGAGATTTGACATGGCAAATTCCAAAGCCATTGACACACCAATGCCAACGTGCAAATCTGAATAGAGATGAAAGTGGTAAGGACGCAGAGGTAAAGAGATATTGAGGTATGGTCGGCTCTCTTCTTTATCTTACCGCCTCTAGACCCGATATTATGTTTAGTGTTTGCATGTGCGCTAGATATCAATCTTCTCCTAAGGAATCTCATTTAAAAGTTGTTAAGCGGATACTTCGATACCTTTCGGGTACTCCAAAGTATGGGCTATGGTATTGCAAAGGAAACGATTGTTCCTTGGTTGGATTCTCCGATTCTGATTTTGCCGGGTATAAATCGGATAGAAAAAGTACTAGTGGTACTTGTCACTTATTTTCAAACTCTTTGGTTAGTTGACATAGCAAGAAACAGGTTTTTGTTGCCTTGTCAACCGCCGAAGCGGAATACGTTGCCGCCGGCAGTTGTTGCGCTCAAGTCTTATGACTTAAGACATAACTGTTAGATTTTAACCTTAAACTTGAGCGTATTCCGATCTTTTGTGACAATACTAGTGCAATTAATCTTACCAAGAATCCCGTGCTGCATTCACGCACTAAACATATCGAAATTCGACACCATTTTCTTAGGGATCATGTGGAGAAAGCCGATATTGTTTTTGAACACGTTGACACTACAAATCAACTAGCGGATATATTCACAAAACCGCTTGCTACAAAACCTTTCTTTCATATCCAACGAGAACTTGCTATTCTCGACATTTCGGATCGTGTTTAGTAATATTTCTTGCATATATTTTATTCATCTATGTTTATATCTACTTTGGTCATCGGATATCTAACCAATTGACGATGTTGTAAGTATAAGCGTATATTTATCAAACTACTCTCGGCATGAAGGTGATATCTTTCCTTAACTCTCTCTCGATTTTTATGTTCACACAAAATGCTTTAAATTATGTGTTATATGTGTCACATATGTCATAATATATGTATCTTGTCTATTTGAATGCTTGATATTTGTTGTGGCTGGTTATTTATGTATCTTTGTTGCTTACATGTTCATAAATGTGAAAATATGTGCGTTTTGTCTGCATGAGTCGACCCAAACAGGATGCGGTCGACTCATAAAAGTGTCCCCAATATTGAAATTTTGTTCGGGTATGCTCAGATCGACCTACCGGTCGATGCACACCTGTTGAGTTTTGAACGTGGCAATTTTAACACAGTATGCGTCGACGCATACAAAGGAGCAGTTGACGCATCGCTAGAAAATTGTCAAATTTTTTTCAAAATCGTTCAAAATTCCCAATATTTCAATTTTTGATGACTCATTAATTGTGCATCATTACATATGCATGGTAACTTGACAGTATATCATACCTATACCCTATCACTCTCCTCTTCCCAAAACCTATAGCTCCTACAAAAAGGGTAAATCTCTTAAACCTATCACCACATTCAAAGAATCTTCTCCAACTTTGCATATCATCATCAATCCATCTTTTTCTTTTCATCTCTTTGAACTCAACAACCATGGCTACAAGAAGAGTTACAGGTAAAAGGTCTACAAGGGCCTCCTCATCTGCATCTCTTCCGGTTTCTGCTGTCTCTTTAGTTCCTCCGGAGTTTACTGAAAGCTTCACCAACAATTTTAGTAAAAGATATGTGGTCAAGCAACACGCTTATTATCGTCTCTCGGCGGAGCGCATGCACATTCCTCACATCATCGATCTTCTTGATTTTCAAAGGGTAAACAAATTTTTG